TCTTTCTTTTCTTCTTTGTTTCTTTTCTTCTTTCTTTCTTTTCTTCTATCTTTCTTTCGTTTTTAATTCTTTCTTTCTTCTTTCTTTCTTTTCTTCTTTCTTTTTTTCGTTTTTAATTCTTTCTTTCTTTTCTTCTTTCTTTCTTTTCTTCTTTCTTTCTTTTCTTCTATCTTTCTTTCGTTTTTAATTCTTTCTTTCTTCTTTCTTTCTTTTCTTCTTTCTTTTTTTCGTTTTTAATTCTTTCTTTCTTTTCTCCTTTCTTTCTTTTCTTCTTTCTTTCTTTTCTTCTATCTATCTTTCGTTTTTAATTCTTTCTTTCTTCTTTCTTTCTTTTCTTCTTTCTTTTTTTCGTTTTTAATTCTTTCTTTCTTTTCTTCTTTCTTTTTATCGTTTTTAATTCTTTCTTTTCTTCTTTCTTCCTTTTCATTTTTAATTCTTTCTTTCTTTTCTTCTTTCTTTCTTTTCTTATTTCTTTCTTTCGTTTTTAATTCTTTCTTTCTTTTCTACTTTATTTTTGTCTTCTTTCTTTTTTTTCTTTCTTTTTTTCGTTTTTAATTATTTCTTTTTTTCTTCTTTTTTTTTTCTTCTTTCTTTCTTTTCTTCTTTCTTTTTTTCTTTTTTTATTCTTTCTTTCTTTTCTTCTTTCTTTTTTCTTCTTTCTTTTTTCTTCTTTCTTTCTTTTCTTCTTTCTTTTTTCGTTTTTATGTCTTTCTTTCTTTTCTTCTTTCATTCTTTCTTTTCTTCTTTGTTTTTTTCGTTTTTAATTCTTTCTTTTCTTCTGTTTTTCTTTCATCTTTCTTTTTTTCTTTCTTTCTTTTCTTCTTTCTTTTTCTCGTTTTTAATTTTTTCTTTTCTTCTTTCTATTTTCTTTTTTCTTTCTTTCTTCTTTCTTTTCTTTCTTTTTTCTTCTTTCTTTCTTTTCTTCTTTCTTTTTTCGTTTTTAATTCTTTCTTTCTTTTCTTCTTTCTTTTTTCGTTTTTAATTCTTTCTTTCTTTTCTTCTTTCTTTCTTTTCTTCTTTCTTTCTTTTCTTCTATCTATCTTTCGTTTTTAATTCTTTCTTTCTTCTTTCTTTCTTTTCTTCTTTCTTTTTTTTCGTTTTTAATTCTTTTCTTTTTTTTCTTCTTTCTTTTCTTTTCTTCTTTTCTTTCTTTTCTTCTATCTTTCTTTCGTTTTTTTTTTTTCTTTTCTTTCTTTCTTTTTCTTCTTTCTTTTTTTTCGTTTTTTAATTCTTTCTTTCTTTTCTTCTTTCTTTCTTTTCTTCTTTCTTTCTTTTCTTCTTTCTTTCTTTCGTTTTAATTTTTCTTTCTTCTTTCTTTCTTTTCTTCTTTTTTTTTTTCGTTTTAATTCTTTCTTTCTTTTCTTCTTTCTTTCTTTTCTTCTTTCTTTCTTTTCTTCTTTCTTTCTTTTCTTTTATTTTTCTTTCGTTTTTAATTCTTTCTTCCTTCTTTCTTTCTTTTCTTCTTTCTTTCTTTTCTTTTATTTTTCTTTCGTTTTTAATTCTTTCTTCCTTCTTTCTTTCTTTTCTTCTTTCTTTTTTTTGTTTTTAATTCTTTCTTTCTGCGAAAGAAAGAAAGAAGAAAAGAAAGAAAGAAGAAATCTTTCTTTCTTTTCTTCTTTCTTTCTTTTCTTCTTTCTTTCTTTTCTTCTATCTTTCTTTCGTTTTTAATTCTTTCTTTCTTTTCTTCTTTCTTTTTTCGTTTTTAATTCTTTCTTTCTTTTCTTCTTTCTTTCTTTTCTTCTTTCTTTCTTTCGTTTTTAATTCTTTCTTTCTTTTCTTCTTTCTTTCTTTTCTTCTATCTATCTTTCGTTTTTAATTCTTTCTTTCTTCTTTCTTTCTTTTCTTCTTTCTTTTTTCATTTTTTTTTCTTTTTCTTTTCTCCTTTCTTTCTTTTTTTTCTTTGTTTCTTTTCTTCTTTCTTTCTTTTCTTCTATCTTTCTTTCGTTTTTAATTCTTTCTTTCTTCTTTCTTTCTTTTCTTCTTTCTTTTTTTCGTTTTTAATTCTTTCTTTCTTTTCTTCTTTCTTTCTTTTCTTCTTTATTTTCTTTCTTCTTTCTTTTTTCGTTTTTAATTCTTTCTTTTCTTCTTTCTCTTTTCTTCTTTCTTTCTTTTCTCCTTTCTTTTTTTCTTTCTTTTCTTCTTTCTTTCTTTTCTTCTTTCTTTTTTTCTTTCTTTTCTTCTTTCTTTCTTTTCTTCTTTCTTTTTCTTCTTTCTTTTTTTCTCCCTTTCTTTTTCTTTCTTTTTTTCGTTTTTAATTCTTTCTTTTCTTCTTTCTTTTTTTTTCGTTTTTAATTCTTTCTTTTCTTCTTTCTTTCTTTTCGTTTTTAATTCTTTCTTTCTTTTCTTCTTTCTTTCTTTTCTTCTTTCTTTTTTTCTTCTTTCTTTCTTTTCGTTTTTAATTCTTTCTTTTTTTTTCGTTTTTAATTCTTTTCTTTTTTGTTCTTTTCCTTTCTTCCTTATTTCCTGCATGTTTCTAATTCTTTATTTCTTTCTTTTCTTC